ACACGTCGAGAGGACGAGTCGATAAGTCAACCCTTTGGAGACGAGTGGCGACCTGTTCCTGGGAAATGCGCTCGAGAGGCCCGTTCTTTGGCCCGTTGCCACACAAATGACGATAACAAGGCTCTCGGGCGGGCATTAATAAGATTAATATTTCCCGCCGATAAATTCGCAATGACGTTCCTGCGACTTGGCACGACGGCCCGATGAATTTTGCAAACGCCGATCGATGGATTACGAGCCACTCTCTCCGAGTCGCTCCGCGTCGACACGTGCGGGGATGTTCCTCTTCTTTTTTTTTTTCCTTTTCCTGGATTGAATTCTCACCCAGTTTAATTCCTTTTTCAACCGCTTGACCACGCAATCTGTCGCGGATTCTCGTTCGATTAACGCGAGGAGACGCGCGGTTTCGAGGGATTAATTTTTACCCGTGCGAAATTCGCCGCGGGCGAGAATTCGCAGGAGATTCCCTGAGCCCGTCGGTCTCATTTTCTCCTCCTCGAGAAACTTACAAGCAAGGAGCTCGAAGTGTAAGTTATACAATGCGAGTGCAAAATAAATTACCGAGCTTACCGTGGGTGGACGCGTACAAGCCGACGAGGCAGATGGGGTTAAATCCGGACGGATTAATTAATCCTAACACTAAGCCTACCAAGCGGTCGAGAATGGCCGATTTGTAATTTCCTGCGAAATCACTCAAAGTTATACAGACCAATGCGCTTTATATTCGCGCAACAAACGTCGACCGGAGTGAAATGCACAATAAATACACTGAGCAAAAATTGTATTAAAATTAAACAAATATTTGTTCGAATACGACTGTGCGAACGCATTGATTTAAATTAAGCGATTATTTTCTAAAAGTTCAAGAAAAAAGTTTACATTCAGAGAGAACCTCTGCATTTCATTTGAGATTAATTAGTCGCTCAATCTGAATAAATGTATTCGACACACAGTCGTATTCGAAGAAATATTTGTTTAATTTTAATAGAATTCTTTCTCAGCGCAAACATTTCTGTCCCGGCATAACGCATTTTTCCAAACACCTGTCGCTTCGACAAGTCGCGAATCAGTGGAAACAGAACGCGCTGATCGCGCTGTCGGCACTTGTACCGTCCACAGATTAACCACAAACCACCGATCTCGCAGATCCAAGTTGGGGGATGAACGGAGATCGAGTCGCGCGGGGATGAAGTTGGCGCGCGACGAGATGAAAGTGGCGGATCGTATCTCGCATTTTCCTCCCGCGGTCCGATTAACGGTGCGTCTAAATTGCATCGCGCTCCCGCAACGCGCGAATTGCGCGCGGCGCACTTTCTCCCTTACTTTCGTTGGAACGGCTGGTGAAAGCGGTTCCACGCGCGTTCGCTCTTAGAGAGACCAGCTGGCGCGCCCGGCGATCTGTCCGGCGGCAGTGGTCCACAAGCCTCAGGAACCCGTGGAGGAGGCTCAGCCGGTGAGGTAGCGCGAGTAGCGGGCTTGCCTCGAAGTGCGCGTCGTCTCGACGACGCGCATCGTCGCGGCGGCCACGCCGTTCCCTCGTCGCACTCGTCCAGCAATCACGCGCGCTCCTCGATTCGGTTTCCTCTCACTCGCGCGACGCGCGTCGAAGTAACGTCGCTGCGTGGTCGCGGTTGCGAATTCCACGGCGAATTAGCGCGGCGCGAAGTCTTACGACGCGCGCTTCACCCGTACCCGATTCGTTCTACTTCGTTGTAGCTCGAGGCTCGAGGCCGCGCGAGCCAGCAGCCGAATCGACCTAGAGAGACGATTCACTCGCGACGCCTGCTCGCTCTGCCTGCCGTTAATCACGCGCTGGGAATTACCATGCTAATTCCCACGCGAACGACGAGCGGGAAAAGGAGCGACCGCGAGGCGTACAATGTTCGCCGATGAATTATTCACTCGCGACGCGTCGCGGCGCGGCGCGGCGCGGCGCGGCGCGCCACGTGCGGCGGCCGCACGCACAGCGCAATTCCGCCGATGCGACGTGCGATCCCGCCGATCGCGGGAAGGAAAAGAAAGAAAGAGAGAGAGAGAGAGAGAGGGGAAACAATCGAGGGGACAAACGGGGAGCGATAACGCGTCCAACGATCAAAAGTTCAGCAGCGACGCGATCGTTCGCCTTCACCGACGTCGCGTCGACCGAGGCAGGCGTCGTCGCGCGTCGCGGATCGCGAATACTCGGGACATCGCGACTGCGAGTCGGGAAGTTGCCGCGGGCACTCTTTGCAGATTCGCGAAATCGCCGATGACGGGGGGATCACGCGGATAAACTGCCTCGCGCACAAAACACCGCACCGCTTCGCGCTAACAGTCGATCGCATATGCGAACGCACTAGTCGCGGAGGACCGATGGACGAGGGGGAAGCGTGCAGGGGCGCGCGGGGGCGGCTGAGCCACGCCGAGTGCAACGTGACCGCCGATCCGCGGCCGATCCAATTGGACGTGCGGGTCACGTGGTGCCGCGGTCACGTTGCAGCCGCCGTGGCGGCCGAGCGCCGAGAGTGCACCTCTCGGCTCTCGCTGTCGCGCGAGCGAGGAAACGCTTGCCTTCGTCGTCGGCCGGTCCGCTCGAGGCCGTCTTCCCACTCGCGATCGCTCGTTCCGATCTGCGGATGTATTCTGCCAACTTTTAACGGCGGCGGTATCGTTACTGTCACGTCGTCGTCGTCGTCGTCGTCGCCGTTGCTATGCGCCTTTTTCGTCAAGTATTACATTTATACGCAATGTAACGGCAATGTAATGATAACGACATTCGCGTTCAAAGAATTGCAGAATAGGTCTGCCATTATAACGTAATTATATGTACAACGTTAAGTATGCCCTCTCGCTGATTCCAAATTCTGTTTCACTTGCATGAGCGTCATGTGTAACACTGTTTTTCAGCCTTGAGAGCCAGAAAGATATTCAGTTTTCGCATCCAGAAAAGAAGTCCTAAGCAAAGGCTCGATTTTCCTCTTTCGCTATTCGGATATGCGGAGGAACGTGTCTCTCCTGTGCGACTTCTCGCGATGAAGAGTAACTAATATTTCTGTGTAACGAATGAAACGCACGTGTGTCTTAAATGTGCGTAATTTCTCTCGCTGCGCTGTTCTCTGTCACTTTCGGTAAGGTTGCTGGTTGATTCGTCCGCGACGAAAATCTGCCGAATGCTCCAATTCGCTGAGAATTATCTCCTTTTTTTCCTTCTCTTTCTTTCTCCCTCTCACGGGTGAAAGGGTTTCCCCGCGCCGACGAAGTCAGCTTTACGACTGTAAGTGAATAACGCGACTCCGTGCCTCGGATAATTGCGGACCGACTTGGCCTTAAACGAGAATTTCATTTGCACCTTACTTAAAAGTCACCAGATACTCGGCGCCGAGCGTTGAAAAGTTCCTACCTGACGATGATATCTCTCTCCCTCGATATTTTCGCCGACTAACAGCCGAAAATCCGACAATTTCTCGTGGGGAAGTCCCGAAATAATTTTCAGCGCGGAATCCTTCCGGCGAATATCAATTTTTAATTGCAAACGCGTCGAGCCGGATTCCCCAGGAGCTTTCGTCTTTACGTGGCTTTAATCGCACAGCACCCCCGCTTTATCTCCGCTGATGTGATCGAAGAAAAAATATTGAGTGTCGCATTGTCAGCTTAACGAGTTTATTTTTTTCGAGGAAGCCACGTTCCTTCGGTCGACGCGACTTCGTCGTCGGTGCGCTCGAAACAGACACTGAGATCCCGACGAATTACTTATATGTTTTGCATTTTGCGTAACTGTTTGCGCGATATCGATTTGCGCAACCGCCGCAACACGAAGTCGCTATTGATCCGAAAATCTGCCTTGCGTAACGAATTTGCGCCCGCCGGATTAAAATAGGCTTCGCGTGTTGAATGAAGCACACGTTTAACTATTCATCGGCCGATCGATCCGACTCACGACACGTCTACTTTGTAGACGTAGGATTCGCGCGCGACGATTTTCATCGAGACGTCTCCGACTGAACAACGCCGATGCATGCGCGCTCTGTTCTCCAGTTGCCACTGCAATGGAATAAAATGCGACCCAAGGAGAGACACGTTGACTTATTGTCGCGAAACTTTCTCGTCCGTCGCGGCCGTCCACCGAGGATGGCACACAAGTAATCCGCGCGACATTACGTCGTCGTCGTCGTTATCTCGCGCGATAATTAAAACTTGCCACCTCTGCATCTCGCGCGTTCAAGCGGCGCGCCGATAGCGGGGAAAAATTCGCGATCAGATGAGCGTACATCCGAGACGCACTTTTGCGATTTTCGATCTCACGTTTCAACTGATATCGCGCTGTTTTCTGTCTCTTCCTCTCTTTCTCTCTCTCTCTCTCTCTCTCTCTATCTGTGTCAACGGCAAAAGAGAACGAAACGAATTGCTCAGAACTAGAACGTTGCATTAATTCCGGCCGAGAAATTATTCCAAATATATTCTCTCCCTCTCGCTCACTCTCGCGCGCGCGCTCGTCGGGCGGACCCCCGACGATGTTTGCGCATCACATCGTCCGCGTCTCGCGCAATTATTAAATTGCATTGATTATTAATAGAGTTGTTATACACGGAAACAGAGGGGAAAAAATAGGGAACTCGGTCACGGGGGCAAATCCGCGAGGAGACGCGCGTGATTCGCTAGGGGCGAAGCGACGGGGGCGCGAGATGCCGTATTTTCGAAGCTGCGTCGGTACGAGACGATCGAGTTTGCGGAACAATGGTTACATGGTGGTCGCGCGGGTCCTGAGCGAGCAGCAGGATGACTCTCTCGACTCTCGCGACGTAATTTATCCGGTAATCCGGTCGGACGCGCCCGCCCAGGTCCAGGATCCGTAGCCGGGCGACAACAAAGGATCGCGCGGTTATTTTGCAAACTATTATTACCCGCAGAGCGAGACCGCGTAATCTTACCGCGCGGCGCGCGGAAGAGCCGGGCGAAGTTCGGGCGGGGACGCGGAAAGCGCGCGATTGTTGCCGGCCCGCGATTACGAGCGAGTCACATACCTGCAGTGGCCATTCTCGCGGCAGAGAGCCGCGAGGTCCTGCTGTGAGCGAAGGATCCTTCGTCTTTCTTGAATCTCTCGCCAGTACGCTAACGAGGTCGCGGTCCTCTCGTGCTTCCGGCTGCGCTATAACGTTTGGCGCTCGCTAAATAAATCGCGCGACACACCGAAAGTGCGACACTCTTGAAAATAAATAAGATCGTAAGAACGGTTGGGAGGAAGCGGCGAAACTCGAACTGCACGGCGAAGTGCCAGCGCGCATATAACGAGGATCTCTGTGGAAATTGGAGATCAAGATCGTGAGGTCAGAATGCGACTGGACTGTCGCGAGTCCGCGCGTATTTTCCGACGTGTCTTGAAGCCGCTGTTATTTATTTTCAAATTTTACGCTTGTGGTGGATTTCGTAAGACTCGCCATATTCCTACCTTTGCGAAGAGGCAGCAACGACTGCAGGGACCGCGCAGGAGGACGAGGCGATGGGGATTTTTGTGGATGGTGGAAGGATATTGAACTCTGAAATGCGCGAGGTGCCGCCGCAGTTAGGTGTCGTTGCGTAACTCTCGCGGGACACATCTCTCCTCTTTCTCTCCTCCTTATTTCGCGCTGCGCTTTACAGAGGAAGATCCTGCTCATTGTCGTTATTGTTGTAACTCGCTTCGTCCTTCGCGTTGCATAAGAAAGGTAATATTTACCTCCGTGGAATCCGTGGCTTGACCGAATTATCGCGCTTACGCGTAACGATTGTTCTCGCAGCGCGATCGAATCCGCGCTGATCAAAGGGTACGCTTGCATTTTCGAATCGGCATCGATCGAGCATTTGCCGGCGGAAATTCTCCCTTCCGGCGTGCTGCAAATATGACAGATGGTCTTAGAATAATTACAGTCATTTATTCGTTTTCACATACAAAACGTATCAAGAAAAACGGATGGGACGCCCGCGGTATTTCCCGAGGGCCTCCGTTGCTCTTGCTACATCTTCTATCGCAAAATCGTGTACCTATATGTGTGTATGTGTGTGTGTGTGTGTGTGTGTGTGTGTGTGTATTGTGTTACGTGTGGCATATATAAAAATGACTCTTCCTAAAAATCCGAAATGAGTGTGTCACTTCGTTCGTTCCGTGTCGGTTCTTTCTTCGTTCGACGCTAACACTACGCTTGTTTTAATCTCTCGATGCTCTAGCTATCGATATATATATATATATATATAATATTCGACACTATTCTGTAAATATACATACGTACAATACATGTACATACCTTATACACATATATTGTACATACATATATACGCGTATATAGATTATATATATAATCGCTCTATAACTAAATATCTTCTCTATATATCCTCTATATTATTTATAGCTTTTTTCCATAAATTTTTCATGCGCTTTTCTTTACAGTATACTCTCGTTAGATTATTTGTTATTCGTAGTACGATCTCTCGTGATTCCGTATAAAACGGTTCCTCCATCGACGTTACTTCGTTTGCACGCGATTAGCTATCATACACGTTACTTAATCCATGCACGTACGTACGGTACATATTCGTAATTAAACATTTACACAAGAGGGCGAAGAAAAAAGGAAGATGATTGAAAGACTATTCTCGCGCCGATGTGATGCAGAGAGGCTAAGCGGACGCTTCGCGCGATCCACCTGCGACAACGTGGACGATCGCGACGAGACGAGTCGCCGTCGCCGTCGAACGATCGAGCGAGATCGCGAACGAAAAAAAAAAAAAAAAGAAAAATAAAACAAAGAAATTGCAGAAGGGCAACGATGAAAACATCCTCTCACCGCGATCATCGTTCATATTCGCTGCGGCTGCCGCTTATTCTGCACTAACGAGGAAACTTTCAGAAGCCTCTTCGAGTCCCGCGATTCACGGCTTTGTCGTAGAGTGGCTCGAGATAAAAGAGAATCGTCTTTTATTTGGAGTCACTGTAGAGTAAAAACAAACAAAAAAAAAAAAGAGAGAAGAAAAAAGAACAAACGAACATTTGACGCTCATTAAAATCGCAAATTTCGACGATAGCCGAAAGTTTTCTAGCCAATTGCTGACTCCATATGTCGCTGTTACTTTCGTTTGTCTCTATCTGAGTAATTCTATTATTTAAATAAAATTCTGTAAAAACACACATACACACTCTCTCTCTCTCTCTTTCTTCCTCCCTCTCTCTTCTATCGCAATGTTCACGCAAAAGGACGTGAGATGGCTGCGGTACGTCGTCTCGTCGGGGTGTTAACGATTGTGCTTATCGAAAGCACAACACGAAGGAATTAATCAGTTTGCGGCGAGAATCTCGATACTCCGCTACGAGGATACCTTCAACGATGTCCGGTCGACAGGTCTGAAACGGTCCGCTTCGGGTAGCTTCGAGAGAGCGGTGAAAAGCGTGCGCGCGAATTCGATACCGAACGCAATCTCTGTTCTCGCAAGAAATGAGCACGTTTTTTGAATCGCGGAGATCGCGACGCCGGAAGCTCGCGTTCACACGAAATACTGATGAACTGATATTCATAGTCAGATCTTACATCCTTAAAATCACTTACAAGGGATTGCAATCCGCGAAGTGTGTGTCTCCGATTTCGACGAAACTTGACATATTTGTAGAGTAGCCAAAAATAAGAGACACATCTTTTCTTTATCGGCAATGGCTCAGCTTTAAAGGGTGAAACTGCCCCTCAAAATCTCATCCCCTTTATGTTATCTCGATAATTATTGCAGATGGAAGAACTTTTTAAACAAAAATTGTATGGCACAAAAAAACGTACAATTTTTGTTTCAAAAGTTTTTCCTCATCCGCAACAGATTATCGAGACAGCATAGAGAAGGTGAAACTTGGAGGGGCAGTTTCACCCCTTAAACCTGAACCATTGCCGATAAAAAAAAATACAGCTCTTTTATTTTTAACTATTCTACAAATATGCCAAGTTTCGTCAAAATCCTTCCTTGTTAGCTTCATTTTCAGATGTCACGAGGACCGTTTAATCAGCCAGTCCATCTGAAGATGAACTTGAAGCGATATTAGGACATGAGGTGCTCACATGCTATGAGTACCAGCGAATGTGTGAAGGATGAACAACGAGAGTTTTAAGGACGAATCGTACTCGGCTTCCTTCGCGGTCGAGAACTCGCAAATTATCAATCTGTAGAATACTGCGACAGTATCACAAACGGGAGGAGCGCGAAAAGGCGAGAGCGCGAACTCATTTCGATACCGGCGGACTCTTAAAGAAAATACAGTATATATGTGTATGATAAGTATGTATATGTGTGTGTGTGTGTGTGTGTGTGTGTGTGTGTGTGTGATGTACATAACATAGAGTACACATGTATACATACGATATATTATATGATATGCAATACATGTGTGTATTATATATTATATAATATATAACGTGTGTATGTGTGTGTTGTGTATGATGAAGCACACAACAGGAGAGAATTCGAGACCTACCAGCAGAAACGGAACTACGCCAAAGGAACTGCAATCCGCGACAGTCGTCAACAAGTGTGCGAGTCCCGTCGAATCCCGCGCGAAAGGAACACCACGGCGGAAATCCGCATGCATATGATCACGCCGAGTGTGTGTCCGCGCGCGTGCAAAAATCTCTTAGTACAACGCTTAATTTGTAACAAGTAATTCGATTGCGATACGATAATCAAGGCCGTCGAAGCTGACAGTAGACAATTATCGCGAGATATCAAGCGGATCTTATCAAACATATAGTTTTTCTCTCTCTCTCTCTCTCTCTCTCTCTCTCTCTCTCTCTCTCTCTCTCTCTCTCTCTCTCTCTCTCTCCCTCTCTCTCTCTCTTCATATAACGCTAATACACGATTCACTTGTAACATGCCTTTCTCTCGCTCGGTAATCTATATAAATGTCACGTAACAAACTTTACACATAGAGTCGTTCCCGCGAACGTTGCGATTAATCGCGACAACTGAGATAACGTCATACAATTCCCCGCCCCTTGCCGCTTTCGCGCTCGGGAAGGAGCGAAGGATCGGTCGAAAATCTCCAATGACTCCGTCTCCGACTAACGTTCAACGTTCATTAGTTCTCAATGGAAATTGCGTTAACAATGAGGCTCAACGGTCGGTCCTTGATCGATGATGCGATTGACGTCGCTCGAGAAAGCGCCAAGGACCGGATGTCGGCGAATCGAACTTTCACAGAAGAAAAAAGAAAAGAAAAAAAAAAGAAAAAAGAAAGAAGCTAATTAACTCGCGCATATAATAGTTATTATAAATCTTACGGGACTGCTGCAACAAGTAGCGATCTATAAGCCTACTTAAATGGACAAGCTTTCTTACAAAATAAGTGTAACCGCTGTATATAAAACTACAATTTCAATCTCGCACATACATCTCTCTCCTTGTCACGATTAGGGACGTGCGCACGCCTGTACCACGCTTGGCCGAATTTAACAACACATCTCGTTCATTCTATTGTCACGCTGTTTTGATTGTAAAAAGTGGGGAGAGTATCTCATTTCTATTAGCCTATGAATGAATAAAAATGGACACGGGATGTCTCAGAAGCACCGATCTCGATTTCAACAGATTCTTTGACGGATCTCGCGCGCGGAACCTTGCGAATTCTGCGTCGCAGCTCTTCATTAAAAATATGCACACACGCACACGCATATATATGTATATGAATATTTATATATCAAATAAAAATTCTCTGTAAAAATAAAGCCTCTTCAGTTTTGAATGAGCAATAGAATCTGCATTACACGCTGGATGATTCGTATCTGAATTGTAGCACAAACTCTGGTCTACCATGAATTTTAGTCAAACCAAGATCAACCTGCTGCTTGGCCAAAGAATCTGTCGTTATGTATACGACCGCAAAAAGCGCACGCCTCTCCGTCGCTATCTTGAAAACGCGCGGGAACAACGCGCGTTAGGAACAAAGACGGCGCTTAGGGAGACGCGCGTCAACGTTACAATCACGTGGACACCGGGAACGACGTTTATAACAATCTGAAAAATTGCCGCGAGACCGTTTCACGTGTACTCTCGCGATGTACACCAGGTACGCATTCGACACCACGCAACCGATTGCTCGATTCGTTTTGTTGCATTTTCCAAACACGCGAAACATTGTACAAAGTCGCAATAACCAAACCCTCTTCTCTTTCTTCTTCTTCTTCTCCTTCCTCTTTATTTCTTTATGATTTCTCTTTTCTTCTTATTTCGTTTCTTTTTCTTCTTCTACCACTATTACTACTGCTACTACTACCACCTCTACTATCTTTTTTCTTGTTTCTCCTTCTCTTCGTAATCTTCACACCCGGCTCATAGGAACATCCAAAAATGGAGGGTTCTCGCGCGTACTCTTCAAACGATTATCGCGCACGCATCTCGTCTTATTTCACGCGCTTCGGAGGCCTGCCGCGCTTCTTCTTGGACACGGTCTTCGCGGTTCGTACGACGAGCGACGGCTTGGGGCTCGCGCATCTCGTCTTACGAACTGTCCTGACCGCGGTGACCTCGCGCAACTCCACCGCGTCGAAATCCGTGTCCTCGACGGCTCTCCTCGAACGTCTGGTGCGCCTTGCTACCTGCTCCAACTCGTCAAACTTGGCCTGCAAGCGGCGCGCCAGTTCGTAATCCTCCCGCTCCTGCAGCAAGACCTGCTCGATCCGTTGCTGCTCCTTGATCACTTCCTCGTCCGAGAGACGCTCGTGCTTCGCGTCCACGCGAGTCCCGATGGCGACGTTGCTGCTCTCCGAAGTGCACTCCTCCGTCTCGTCGCAAGACTCCGGCGGTGAATCGTAATTGAACTTGCCATTGTTATACCTGTCGCGCGTGCCATTCGACTCGCTGCCGGCTGCTGCCCTGGAGATCTTCGTCGAACTCGCGGTTCGCGCTGATCTCTTGGATAGAACCGCTTTACCGATCGTCGCGTTCGTCGACGACTCGCTCTTCTCCGCGTTGCCCCGAGAGGTCCCGTGTAGTCTCCGCCGCTTCGACGCGGAGGCACTGTCAAGTTTCGCGTTCTCCCGAGACGACGGTGCTACGATGACTCCATCCTCAGCTGCGGAGTTCTTGTCCCTCCTCTCGGATAATGCTCTCTTCCTCGTACTCCTTTTCGACGACGACGACGACGACGTGTCGAGCTCCGCGTCTGTCGGCTTCGACGTCTTTTTTTCCGCGCTCACTTTCCTCTTCTTAATCCGCTCGGCTATATTTTCGACAGCTACGTCATCCTTGCCGTTCCGCTCGTCGTTTTGCGGACTCGTTTTGCCGCACGACCAACTGAAACCCCTTGGATCATCGTCCCGCTCTCGCTGCTTCTCCTCCTCTTCTTCCTCCTCTTCCTCGACTATCACCACCTCTTCCTCCTCATCCCCCTCCTCCTCTATTTCCTCGTCTTGCTCTTTCACGTCTGAGATGAGCTCGGCGCCCTTTTTACAATACCTGACGTTTCGATGTCGTTTGGACTTGGCCACCATACCGTTTCTCACGCGCGTCCGCCAGGACTTACGAGTCGTCCTCATGTCCGACTCGTCGCCCAGCGACAGCTTTTTGCTCACTTTAGTGCCGTTGACGATCTTGTTTACGCTTTTCGTATAATTTTTGTTGCTGTCGAACGATGATTCGAGGATAAAGTCGAGTCGAGCGTCATTCGTCTGCGGCTTCGTCGACTTGCTCGAAACCGTCTGGGGCTGGTTGAGTGACGTCGACGGCTTCTGATCGATCGGTGCCGACGTATCCGTATCTACATTGTGCGCAGCTTGCTTCTCCCGTGCGTCCTGCCTTGCTTTGCCTGTTGCAACATATTACGAACTAAGTAAAAGCGAGCGAATACTCATATCTGCGCAACTTCAATCGCGCGTCTAACTAACCTCTACTAAAATCTACGTAACTAGTTATTTACGAGTGAGGCACTCGCACGGGTAAGGCAGGAAACAAGATTGTCATTTCTTATAAAATATTAATATCAAGTGTCTGAAAGAAGCGAGCTCGCGCCGTATTAAAGATACGTACGTACATAAAATGACCAAACTGCTACATTTTCAACTGTCTCATTTCTTGAGACAGTTGAAAATGTAGCAGTTTGGTTTCAACGGCAATTTTCGGCAAAGAGTTTATTTTGAAGATTTATAGTGGAAATGTAAAATGCATCAACAGTATTAGTTTCTAAATCTACTCGTTTTAACTTAACCGCTACCTTGTTCTTTTTCCTCCAATTTAGTTAGTTTACACATTTTTTTAACTCTAAAGGCGAAAAACTCAACTTAATTCGGTAAAAAAAAAAAAGAAAAAAAAAAGAAAACTTTATGACAAATGGTGAGATAGTTCTCATCGTACGTCACATACATAACTCACCTCTGAAGGCGCTCCAGGAACATCCAATGATCCGTTTGAAGTGCGTCGGCGATGGAGGTTTCAGCATCACGTTGATCACCCTCTTCATGATAGGAACCACTCGGATCAACTTTGGATCTATCTGCTTTCCATCTGAAAGCAAGTACAGCGCATATTATAACGCAATGCGATGAAAATACAAGCGAAATTATCTATACGGAGAAACTATTCTACACGTTTCTTGTGCATAAAAATTCGCTATGTTACTGAAACGAAGATATCGTCGCAGGTGTATACCTGCGGAAATCTTAAACGACGTCCTCGGCACCGTCTTGATCGGCTTGAAGTGATGGATCTCCTGATTAATGCTGTCGTGACTGCCCGAGCTCTCCGCGCTCCCTATCCTCTCGTCGTCGTCGGTCCGGTGCGGGCCAAGCGACCCGTGTGTTCTGCACACTTCTACCCCTAGGCTCTTCTTCTTGCTATTCACTACGTCGCTCGGCACGCGCAATTCTTCCTTGGTCTCCGTGGCGTAAGCTTGCGACGTGGAGCACCCGGGATCCATCGGATAATTCGAGGTGCACGGCTGGATGTACCTGGGTACCGCCTGGTGCTTGAACGACTTTGACATAGTATTGTAAGCGGCCAACTGCTTCGGGCAACAGTTCTTGTAGCTGTTGGACGTGTTTGTCTTCACTTTGCAGTATCTCTCTGCGCAAATCTTCGACAACAACGCCATATTCGTCCGTCGTGACTCTGAGTTGTCTCTGGTGGAATCGGGAAGACTCGTCCTCTTGTTATCCACGTGTGCGCTTTCACTTTGTGACGCTTCGACATTATTTACACGCGTGGCCTTAACCTGGTTAAACCTGGACATGTCGTACGCATAGCTCACCGACACCGACGACGTCTTCAAGCACTCGGCTGTAGCCGAGTTGTAACACTTGGCTGTCTCCTTCTGTTTCTCCGCTACCTGCTTCTTCGCCAAGGTTTTGGCTAGCAATTGATCCTGCGCCAACTGCGCAAACAACAGATGCTGCTCTTCTGCCTGAATCTTCTGTATCAAGGCCTCACTGGCTATCTGCTCGGCCTGCCTTTGCCGACGCATCTCTTCCTCGGCTATTTGGAGTTGTGCCTCATACTCCCGGTGTATCTCCCCGGCCGCACTGAGTATCCTGTTCGCTGCGAAATCTGTGTCAAAGAGAAACGCCAGCCGTTAGAGAGATTGCAGAAAAATCATTTACAACGTGAACAAGAAGATTGTGTGTGGTGCTGCTTATCAAAGGATCACTCTACGCTCGAAATCAATTTCCACGGACGAAATTGCCAATCGACGGAACATCGCGATTAACGCCAACGCTTATTAACGTACGTATTCGGAGATTATCGAGCACAAGAGATCACTCTGTACTTCGTCGAAGCGAAGCGACGTCGCGAACATCATACACACACACACACACAGACACAGACACAGACACAAACGCACAAAGGTAACGACGCCGTGCGATGCCAAAGGCGAGCTTGAAACATTCCGGGGATTACATAATTCACGACCGACACAATGAGAGAAAAGTCAATCGGCCTCGCGTCGGACACGCGAGAGGCGTTCTCGCCCGACAAATAATGACATACTCGCATTCTTCGTAGGTTATGTTACGTTTGTTTATTGCTGGTATGTGCGCGCGGGGAAGGGTGGGGGGTGTGTGCGTGTGTGCGTGCATGTACATGCGATGTCACTCACCAGCGTCCAAGCCGAGGTCCCGCTCCTCGCCGTTGTGCTTGTCCTCGACCTCCTTTGGGAATTTCGTCCTGATGAACTCCCAGAGGCCGTGGTTCACCAAAGTCTCCGACTTGGTGGCCGTGCGCAGCCACGAGCCCACCCTGAGCCTGCAGAGGGGACAACTCAGACTGTTGTGCTCGAATGTGCCCTTCAGGCAGCGCAGGCAGAGGTTATGTGTGCACGGCAGCGTCACTGGCTCGATCAGGATGCCGCGGCACACCGGGCACATGAGATCCCGTAGTCGCACATCCGCGCTGGGCCGCGACAGCGACAGATCGAACAGCTTTGACGTACGTTTCAGGTATGTCGCCATCTTCCCATGTTCTTGCTACGCGACTATCAACGACAGCACTGCACTCCACTGCCACCATCACGGAGGAACACTCGGCGGTGGCGGCGGCAGCGATCCCGATGAAATTCCGCTGTTCCTCTGTGCGCACGGGGAACGCGCGGACTGAACGTGGGGAACGGCTGGCACCGGACTGGCATATACGGCGGCGCGCGCTGCTTGTTCGATAGATCGAGAGTTGATCCTTCACTGCCGCCTCTGTCTCTGTTGACAATTTGTTGAAAATTTTTAATGCTTTTTCGGTTTTGCGGGAAACTACCAGCGAAGCTAATATTATTGGAATTATGACTGAATGTCTTTCCCCGGGAGAAAGATTCGTTTGCTACCCTCGATTAGGCGAGGTGATAAACACCTTGCAAATGTTCTGAAGCGACAGTACGTCGAGACTGTACTTTACTTTTTTTTAAAATCGTATCGTAAAAATTGGAACTTTGCTTTTAACTAGAATAATGTCATTGCGAGCAATCTCTACGAAATGGTATCGCCGAGCACGCGGCGCTGAAATAACGAAACTCCGTTTTTCATCGGTATATATGTATTAGAAAATAGTCGCAAAACTTGTATTTCAATATAACAGTATCATAATTCCATAATAAGATATGTATATTTCTATGACATAATTCTTATAACACATTTATGGTCCAGAATATCATTTCGTGCGATATATCGTCTATATTTTCTCCCTCTTTTGCAACTTCGTGTATATATATGTATAATATATATATATATATATATACATATTAGTATAATAAATTTATTCGACTACTTACTCTCTAATCAATTAACCCTAAATTCATTAGAAGAAAGCCACGTGCAAAAGAAAAACCCGTGAATTTTAACTAAAAACAAAATAATATAAGTATCAACTGTAAATAAATTTTCTGTCAATTACTCCATAAATATAATGCGCACGTTTACGTACCTAGAAAATATACGTAACGTGCTTAAAAACACAATTTACTGCAAAATGCATATCAATAATTTCGCACGATTGTATAAGAATATGTGCAACGTTTATCTAAAATCCGTACGACAGCGAGACAATTGCAGAAAGATTGTAAAAAGTTAAGAAAAAAAAAAGAAAAAGAAAAAAACAGGTGAAACAAGAATACACTCGTTATTATGGCGGATCCCCGTACCTACCGCTTTCGTGACACGCTTAACGATAAGAACCCCACCGCTCCGTCTATACATTTTCCTATGAAGCCGAGTATCGGATACCTCAGCACATCTTGCACGACGTGACTCTGAGTCAGTAGCGACTATGTATGGAAGCTTCGAAATTCCTGCATTACGATTGCGTTCTCGGACACATTCAGACGCATTCATGACATACAGACGGATAGGATCGAATATCCGATCGGCCTTAGGATGATTTCTCTAATTTATTAGACATCTATTTTGCTTTAGCCGACGGACGATTCCTCAAATTCTTCTTCGTCGCCTGATCCACTTCCGGGAGCTCGTCGTCCTCGGACTGGGCAGATTTCTTGCCTGAACACATAAAACGCATGTATTGAGATCTTATTAGCTAACACATTTCGACGCAGAAGTAACAAAGGGAGCTTCAATGTAGCCAGAGGTTCTCACCTTCTCGTTTTCTCGACTTTTGCTTCGGCTTTGTCTTCACGACAACTGGTACGGCGTTCTCACGTGCACGCTTGAGTTGCTTCGCGATGAGGAGATACAGCAGGTAGCCTTGGGAGAACGAGATGACGGATATTGCCGTGTACTGCACAGCGGGGATGTTGAAGTTGCCGGTGGCGTAGTCGAATTTGTTTTCCTGCTGTCTCAAGCCGTATATAAACACCACAGCTGACAAAACGATGGTAGCGACGCGGGCAAACACGTATGTCGAATTGGCAATGAGGAAGGACACTGTGCAATATATTAATCAACGCATTAATTTTAACAATTTTCATGTAGACGACTATTTATATCGATAAAAGAAACTTACGTCTCGACGGTTTCTCCTTCTGACTAATGAAGTGGGTCAGTCTAGCTCCATGCAGCAAGGCGTCTCCCATAAAATGCAGAGTCAGCAAGATCACGCCGAGCTGTTGGAAGCTGTAAAAAAAATTCGCTGTTACAAACAGGCAAAAGAGCGAAAGAGAAACGTCTGCGACGTACTATATTATATAATCTTACTTGAAGAAATAAATCAAAGATGTGAAGAACAATGCGATGGTCGCGTAAAGAACACGCAGTGGGATATCTTCTTTCTTAACTCGTTGAAAGTAGAGTTCAGGGTAACAGTGCAACCAATAGGCGAGCTGACAAATGAAAAACAGCTTCAAGGAGAAGGTCATTGGCATTGGGTATTCCTTCCATAAAGCTGGTAGATTCAAGAGTATATTCTCCCTGAAAGAAAGAGACCAGTCTTTTGATATATCATTTTCAGCTAGAATTTAGAAAACTGACTACAGAGAAAATATTACTATATTTAGCATTACCTGATTATAATGTCAATGGCCCAAAAGCTGAACACTATATAAAAGACAATCAATTGGCTGGACTCGTTGAATTTGAAGAGTTTTGCCTTGCTGAGATGGAGTCGTTTGGAAATTTTCTATGAAAGAAAGCAATTTGGTCAGTGAAAGTGCACCAAAAAAAAAAAAAAAAAGAAACAAGTGAGCATCTACAATCAGTTATAACAAGTATACTTACATCAAATATATATTCCTGGAGCACAGCGTGCATTATGATAGTTATCAAAAAGTAAAAGAACACTGCGCATGCATCTTTCCACCCTGTAGTATACTTCAGTACAGTCGTTGGATCTTCAATGGGGTTGGTCACATTATGGTGCATGGCAATGAAAGTGTACGCCCATGATGAGGTAACCTGAAGGAACAGAATTATATTGATTAAGATTATTGATACAGCAAGTAGCTGCAAAACATATGTGCATAACTACATACATATGTATCGTACTTATAATTATAGAAATAATATATATTTAAATCTGACAGTTCTTTTCTTAAAATTAATACAGTAAAGCATCCAATTACTATAGTGTGACTTGTTGATAATTAAAAGTATGTCACTAACATACTGTATGGATAACAGGTTCTCACAAGTACAATATGTTTTTACAAATACAATCGCCTACACGACTAGATCTCATCTAATCCGTATCTACCGCAATATTTACGACTCGTAACATATGGTCGTCCCATTTTTTCAATTTCCACCTAATTCCCCGGAAATTTCCTTTTCATTCGATACGAGACACAGAAGCGAAGAGGCGTGAGCAAAGCGTATGAACGTGAAGACACAATCATCCCCAAATCATCTCGCTCGACCAGGGAGGAGATCGAACGTTATCTAAATTACAAGGCAAAGAACACACAGATCCAGACGCCGGCAGGAGAATCGACGTGTGCACTAACCTGCACCATCAAGCCCACCACGAAGACCATCGCAACGCAGGAGACGATGTCCGCATGGTTCTGTATGACGAATTCGTGGCTGAATATCGGTGGATTCTTGCTCGAGTTCTTGCGTCCCTTCACCGCGACCATTTTGCTATCGAGGAGGAGTGCTCACTGTACGACGAACGCGACAAGACAGACAAGTTCAGCCCCGTCGTGTCATCGACTCGAACGTTTTCACCGGGGAAACGTCACGCGCACACTACGCTACGCGTCGGCCAACGCCGAGCAATGTGGCGTTCGCCGACCTAACCTGTTGGCACTACGTCAGTCATACGCTCGATAAGTTACCCCACTCGCATCACATCACAGACGATGAGCCCCTGAGAATTCTCTCTTCATTATTGTGAGAATAGAATTTTCATTTGATAAAAGGCCCACGACGACAGAGGACGCGAATCGAATGTAGCCGTCGGATGCTCGCTTGACTCTTTGCGCGACGCACGCAGTAAACCGAGTGAAAGTTTGAATTGCCGAGGATACGTGGTTCGATGAACGGGTGTGTGGGTTTAAAAGAAAATTTAAGAGAGAGAAACGAGTAACTTGACATTGTGAAACTGATATTCAAGGAATCGTAAATAATGTAGACTCTACTATATATATGATATCTTGAATTCGTAGGAATATCTAAATGAGAGTACGATAACAAATAACCGTGAAATAACAGATAAAAATAAAATAACACGCTCAAATGTTCCGTCAGACCTTCGTAGAGACATTCGGTCGAAAGCGAACGAATCGATGGTAGATTGATAACAGTTTTACACCATATTATCGTTACAGTTGCGATTCAGTAAGTTATGATATCGGATCGAGCATACAGTTTTCATCTTCGTAAGGCAAAATCGGGTGGTGTGCGAGTAACGCATTTAGAAGATATAGTTTATTTCACGATACACAGATACAACATCGTCAATGTGTATAATAATAATAATACGTATTTGTTCCGCCTGATTTAGACGTTTCGTCAATTTAGACAACTGATCGATCTCGATTATAATTCCGAAATCCTCACGGATTTTTGCAATATAATACGCGCTGCGCCGCCCAGAGTGCGGTGGTATGTCAATCACATTTGATGTCGAAAGAGAAAAAATAAATTACGATAAATGTAATACTATATACACGTCACGGGTCTCAGATGTAAATTCATTGATCAACAATGACTCGAAAATATATCTCTGAAATCTTAAAAATAATATCTCATTTCTATACACGCGTAACCTTAATGCGCTAATGCGGCGGGCATGCATTTGACATTACGCGAGTATCATTTGTACGTTTCTGCGTGTACAGCCTCGTAGTACAATGCGATAAATAGCGATTGATGATTACACACGTGGATATTTCGACGAAGAGACACGCGAATTAAATATCGTTCGAATGTGTGTGTGTGTATATATATATATCACATCACTCAATAAGTTCGTAGGATGACATATAAATGGCGCTACTATTGACAAATCCATATGATTTTTAGGAAGTAGTAACCTTCGAATGATACGTGTCAAAATTTCATGACAATCGGACGTTCAGTTCACAAGTTACAGTGGTTTTAGTGACGCACGAGACGTCGACTCGTTTTAGCAAGGCTTCAGTTTCAGCAGTCACTTCTTCATTGGAGCCAAATCTCTTTCCCTGGAGCTTTCCCTGCCGATTTGACTCTGGAGTGTAGTGATGGATCCATGTTTCATCCATTGTCACATACCGCATCAAAAAATCCTTTTTGTCGCGCTGAAACAGCTCCAAACAGCCCGCTGAATCGTCGACGCGTTGCTAAAACGAGTCGTCACTAAAACCAGAGTCTCGTGCGTCACTAAAACCACTGTAACTTGTGAACTGAACGTCCGATTGTCATGAAATTTTGACACGTATCATTCGAAGGTTAGTACTTCCTAAAAATCATATGGATTTGTCAATAGTAGCGCCATTTATATGTCATCCTACGAACTTATTGAGTGATGTGTTATGTATGTTTTTCAGCACGTCGAATTCGATTCCATGATGAAAATTCATCGAGACACACGAGAGATACGGTAAAACTGTACTGTTGCAATGCAATTAACGAATATAATCAAGTGGCTATAATTTAATTCACAGATTATTAACAGGAGCCTTCGTGTCCCCCTTTTCTCCCTGTCGTTGCGCCTTGACTTTGCTCAAATACTTGGTATCTTTGGTCGCCTTTTCAACCTCGTGATATATAACGAATAAACGAACATCTCTACCCGATGCATCGCTTGAACGGTCAAGTGTCGTGTTAGTTGTATTATTCGGTCGGTTTTTCAACAAGAGAGCTATTATCGTCTATCTGTCGTATACACACTACCGAGAGTAGTAGATCATACACATGTATTTCGATAACGACTTGAAACAAGCGATCCTGCCAGATATAATTCTTTATACGTATATTACACGATCTTACGTTAACACTCTAACTCGAGCGAACTCGTAACGTACGCGCGTAATTATTGTACTTTCGAAGATATATATATATATATATATGTATATATTTTTTTACGTCGTCCTTGCTTCTTTTCTGTTTTCTTCTTCCTCTTGCACAGAGCATGCACACATCAATCTTTACCTACTAAGCCAATCTTAGGTGTAAGTCGACGCGAGTTGCGAATGCTAAGCGCGGCGGCATCCAAAACGAAGAATCATGGGCGTGCTTCGCGATTCTCCACGCGAGCGTCGGTGCGCAAACTACTTACACAGAAAAAATGATGAAGAAGAGTACACGCTACAACGGGCGCACACACACATACGCATACGCACACATGCGCGCACACACATACACGCGCAAGTTTCTCCCCCTTTTTCTTTCTCTCTCTCTCTTTCTCTCTCTTTCTCACGTCCGTATTCCCGTTAATCATGTTCGGTAATGTTACTCATTTACGCATACAAGCGGATACGCGAACGGGCGGATGAGCGAGCGAGCGAGTTATATGGCGCGCGAGACACAATTATAATTTTCAGTAGTCACCAGAGTGCAACTACTGCCTGGCTTCTATAGAATCTCGCGAGGGCACGAGACAAGAGAACGCTACTTTATATACGCCGAGGAAAACAATTACGAGAGATTATTAATAGCTTGCACGCTTTCGCCGAAAGATAAATACACGAGTATAGATTAAGAGAAAAAGAATTAAATCTAAGTACTCCTTTGTGGTCACAAGCCTTAAATTTTAGCGAAATTCTTTAATGTTACGTGCAACCAGAGCGCGACTCACGGGTCAACCTCTCACTCATTCGCTTTCTTTTTCCCTCTTTCTCTCTCTCTCTCTCTCTCTCTCTGCTCTTCTTTTACTGCGTGAGTCGTACGTTCATCGTTGCAAAATTATGTTTTGAGGTAGACAGGTATATTCTCCAATAGCTTCTTATAGCTTCGAGTAAACGCTAAACCGAAGGATAAACATCTTCACCGACGCACAAAATGCCACATTAATTTTTAACCCTACACCTTAGTAGACCACAAATACAGTTCACAAAGTTTTGATCCGTAAAACTCCTGATAAATTTCACAATCTGATTCACTTCTCGATCCGTGTGTCGCAACTGAAGATTATACTTGTCACAAACGTTTTTCACCGGGTGTTATGTTAAGTGTACAACGCGAACGAACGAAATGTCAAAACGAGATATCTCGACAGGCCGTCCTTAATTTAATCTTTAATTCACAATGTCAAAAGCAATGAAAAGATGCAGAAACAATATTACTGTTCGTTAAAGACGCTAAAAAGCAGTACATGAGTCGTTGTTTCTCCTGATCCTGCTGATTATGTTTCACCACGGTGCGATATTTCAACAGCGTATTCTGAAGCTTAATTACAATCAAGTATCCTAATATAGAATAAATTAAATATACTAATATCGCGTTAGCGCTTTTCGTTGATCGATATTAACGTCTTACATCTCGAAAAAGCTACTACAATTTTGTACATTAGAAACCTCAATTTTCAAGCCTTAACCAAACTACCAAAACACATTATTGAAAAATCGCACAACAATTTGCTGGCTACCCGGACATGCAGCAAAACGTATGTACCAGGTTCGAGTAGCATATCAAATGTAAGTCTCTTGCGTATCGCTGGGTGGTTTATCAATTTTTGTTTCCTCTCCCTCTCTCTTCCCCCCCCCTCTCTCTCTCTGTCTGCATGTTTGACGAAACGATTTTCCGTAATTTGGCGCCTGAACTCCGTGTACTTTACTACACGCTAGAAATTTTTTACATTTGTCGAAATCTAATGTAATTTCAAAACTATGCATAATCGCACGCATTGCAATTTCAACGTCGTTAGAAGATATACTGTAACAATACCGCTCAGTTGTTCTTGTTCAAACGGGAAGCACCTCGCTTCTATTGGCACGTCGCGGGCCGAGCTCGCACGAGACTCAAGTATACTTAACACCCTCTTACGCTTCAGGTACTGTCTTTGTACCTATTTCTTACCTGAGTTGAAAAACTCGCAAGTTTATGTTCGAGAGGCACCGAATGTGACTCTCAAAACCAACGAATAAATGGCCCGGAACCCTCGGTCGCATTTGTCCGCGTAATTTACATCCCAAATTGTTGCGTTCATACGTCGAAACGACTAGCGATAACGAAAACATGCGTACGCACACATGTACATTGCTATTGCTCGTGAGAACCAATGATATGAACGATCGAATCCTTCGGACGTGTGTGTGTGTGTGTGTGTGTGATTTAATAAATATGCATAAGATTCGTTTTTCTCCCTTCGTCTTGTCGAGCAGCGGCCAAATTATCGTAATGTCGCACAATACGCGCAACGTTATCCATTTGTCTACTTACTTAGCGCGATTTTAGGTAATTAACCTAGCGACTTATACGAGAGGCGGGTCATTCTGAAGATCCATTTCCTCGACGGTTATATACAAGCCCTCTTCTTCGTACGTTGACTCATGCTTCGCCAACACTTTCAGCAACGGACGCAGCTTCATCCACCACTGATATATCGGAATACGATGCCTGAAATTATATCGAGTGTCGAGAATTATTCGTCGGGCACTGGAAATATTAAGACAATTTACCGGAGAAAATACGCACTCAAAGTCGGTAACATCGAGAAGTTCCATGAACGACGTGTATCTGTATTGTCGTCTTACAATACCGAGCATCACAGCGCTGTCCGCTCTTATCGTGACTACCCTGCCGTCGGGATTCGTGCACTTTCGCAATTGGTCGCTGAACCATTCCACTGCTTTAGCGCCCATCTTCGTTCCCAAGTTGCGATCGAAGGGCGTCGGTGAGCCACCTTGTTGCATGTGACCTAAAATAATATTTAATATAACAATCTAATTAAATACTACCTAAAATAATATTTAATATAACAATCTAATTAAATATTTATATGATGATACAATGTAATATGCATGTAACGAACGAAACAGAGAGAATATTGTATATAGATTAAATATACAAAAGTTCAATTGTATGTAAAAATTAGTGATGTCAATATGTACGAAAACCACTTGGTTTGTTCCGCGATAATAGTAGTACAGAATCCAATTCGTACCAATTATATTCATCCTGCAGCTAAACAGACCCTTTCCTTCCTCACTGAAAAGTCTCTGCATAAAGTCGGTATTGTAATTCAGATTAGCGTTCTCGTTCCTGAGGATCAGACCTCGTTGAACACCTTCCGACATCTTCGCCGCCATCGCAATGACATCCTGATTCAGGTCTGTAATATAAACATTGCAGTGTTAAATAAAATATTTTTTATTGCGTTCAATGTTTTTATAGCTTTTATTTTCAGATATTTCTGAGAGCCCATCATTGATAAGAACGTTATCATATAACATACTTGAAGTGAATGTGATATACAAGCAGAATACCTTTAATATTGAACTTTTCCTCGAAGATATACGCAGCGTCAGCACCTCCGGCCAGACCAGCGACTGTCGCCAAGTATCCACAGAAGCCACCCATTGTCTCGATAATGAATACGCGACGTTTGGTACCTTGCGCCGATTGCCGGATACGATCACAAATCTGAAATGATGTCGTTACATAATTGATTCTTAGATTAAAATTACATCTACAAGATAGGTGATACAAAAAGGAAAGAAGAATTAACGTTTAAATCAGCGATTTCTAGCCGTGACCACTAAAGTTAAGCTGTGAGACTTTCCAACATTGAATTTGTATAACCAGAATGCTTATTGATATGAAGATGAAAACTTACTTCTGTAATCTCGTTCAAAGCTGTGTCACAGCCCAAAGAAAATTCCGTCCCTGGTACATTATTGCTGATAGTCGCTGGGATCATAGCGATAGGAATACGGAACTCCGCGTACTTGTCCCTCGCTGTGAAGAACATCAGACCGGTTTGATAACCCTACCGATAAAATACGCTTGGTGTAATCGATATCTATATATATCTTAGTCCACAGTCAACAGAACACGAGCGAAGAACGCGGTACCTCGAATCCACCTATGATTAGTAACGCCTGAATCCCGAATTCCTTAAGTTTCTGAGCAATTTGCGGCAATTGGTCTTTTGTGGGTGGCGTGCGCTTCGTTCCCAAATAGGCGCCGCCTTGTGCAACCCAGCCGGTAACTGACGACCAATCCATCAGCTTCAATCTACCAGCGATGAGACCCAACACTCCGTCGCAGATACCATACACCTATGTCGAGGCAAAAAAAGAATTGAGTACAACGAAGACAGCAAGTGCTAGAACTCATAATGTACACGAAAGAACATATACGATACCTTATCGCCTCGATAGATGCAATTTCTCACGAAGGAACGAACTGCGGCATTCATACCGCAAGACGGTGATCCTATATGCATGACCGCCAACGTGTAATGCTCCTGTAAGAAAAAGCGCGAATTACCGACGACGTGAAAGCCGATACGACGCGTCATGCAACGTGCACAAGAAACTGAACGATCGCTTGTGTATGATGTAGCACGTTAAATAGCGCACAATGCTTTCGTCTGCCTGAGCACGAACGTGAAATACGAAAATGATATGTGTGTCTAACATATGAGACACGCATTCTCTATTTCCAAAGGTATGGATCAACTCACTTGTCCACATAAAGTGTATTGCTATGGGAGGAAAAAAAGGTGCTGTGATTAGGACAATTTTGGTCCTGACGTTCACAAGGCATTGCAAGTATTAATATTTGTTCCAAAAAAGTGAACGTGAGAACGCCTAATAATAGGTTCTTAATTGATTTACCTTCGGTACTGCGTACCCGTGAACTTCCTGAAGCAGTATTAAACAGCACATGTAATAATCTCTATATTATTCATCGCTCTATTCTATGCTATTTTCATCAGAGACCCAAAATTCCGTTAAGGCTACAGCAGTGCTGCACATTTCTCTATCTGTTCTACCGACCGACACATTATTGTACTAAAAACGCGTAGAATTTAAATACTGAAATTTTTGGGTCATCCAAACGCGAGCTGCGGACCGTACGCGGGAAACGCGTGATTGTACCTTGGTTGGATCATAGCTTTCTACTGGAGCTTTCAAGCGCGTCAGCATCTTGTAAGTCTCCAGATTGCGCTCGAAGCCTCTGAAAAGCATAAGCGGATATTTAGATATATGCTACACTTTTAACGTCTAACATTTCTGCTGTGATTTCTTGGATTCACTTACTTCCCTCGGAGCTGAACCGCGAGGCTCCAATTTTTGTCAGCCATAGCTTGCGCTACAGCTTTCGTACGACGAACGCATTCCATTAGTGGCAATCTTACAGCTTGATTACCATCCAATGTAACTACGCATGCCTCGGTCTCGGGCGTCGCTTCCATCAGAGCCATCACGGCTTCAGCTCCCATTCGGCATCCCTGTAACATATTGTTGATCAGATCAAAGTATCAATAAAGAATAGATCAAAGTTATGAATATATACTGTAATCTCAAAGATATATATATATATATATATATATATTTCTCATATTTAATTTTCTTAACGACATTAAAAATTCTGAATTATCAAATCTTACCAAAACTCTGTCAAAGGCTGAAGGATTACCACCTCTTTGTACATGACCCAAGACAGTAATCCTGGTATCTTGCTGTAGCTTGTCCACGACTACCTTGTGCACTTTCTCAGCAGTAATCGGGTCGCCATTCCTGTCGACAGCCCCTTCGGCCACGATAATAATGTTGAGTCGTTGCCCGGTAAGCCTCTCCTGAAAAGTAAGTTTTAGAGCAATGAAAACCTTTCGCACGCCGAAGTAGATTGCTTCATCAACAGATCTAAAAGAGCAGACTGTGTAGAAATATAATAGAAAAAAAAATCAAATACTATGATACCGTGTAATATCGCAATATAGTTATACTAATAATAAAGATACAAAGTAATATGTACAGTTTCAGAAACGTTCGCTCTAATACTTCTATGTAGATTAAGTGTTTTATAAATTTCTTGTAAATGTATTATGATATAGTACTTCACATAACACATAGCATTATAGAAAAATGTTGTAAGCTTATCATAGCATGCATTTTATTTCTTTATCATCAACTTCACGAAACAAAGTTATTTTTTCGTAAATTGCGTGAAAAAAGTGTTTACAAAGCGTATATAGCAGATATCACCAAAAGAAAAGAAAATCAAATCAGATGTAACTAAAACGATTGTAACAGCCTGCAACCGTTTAAAAGAACAAAGCATGAATTGCAAAAATGCAATATGCTATTCGCGTTGCAGGTTGGACGAGAGTCGCGCGAAACAAACGTAAAAAGATACTTGTCTTAAAAAATTAAAAAAAAAAAAAGATATTCATCGAACCTGCAGCAACTTTTTGCACAGCTTGTTGGGCCAATCCTGCTCGGGTGGCCATTCTGGGATGAAAACAAAATCAGCTTCGCAACACATAGCTGCCACCAGAGCCAGATAACTGTAATGGTATATCGTCAAACCTAACTAAATCTACTTCAATACGATGTTCAAGGATACTGTGTGTGATATAATGTCATTGCATCGTGATTATGTGATCGTATAAGTTCGGAGAAGCCGGCTGACGAACATACGTGGATGTCAATGTATTTGCAAAAGAGACTCTCGTGTAAGCGCTAAACGGGGTAAAATGGTAAGGAGCGGGAAAGTTTACAAGATATCTTACTGCGATCGATTTTTTTCAAGATCGCACTGCGTTTATAAAGTATCTCTAAATTGCTGTTATCCCATGAATATACTGATATTACTGATATGTAATATAATGATATAAGGATAGTCTCTCTGATATAAGGCGACTAGCGAGAAAAAGAAAGAGGAAGAGAGAAACGTGCCTGTCGCACAGCTTCGCAAAGCTCCTCGATCCAATCACCGCTCGTCGGAGACTCGGGAATAAAGGAATAGCAGGCTTCCGAGGACAAACTTGACGCTATCGTCAGATACCTGAAAGACTCTGTCGTCTCAGAATTATCTTCAGTCATCTACGCAGTTTTCTGCGTATCTATCGATCACTGCGTGATAACAATGTGTGAGAAAATTTGTACAAGTATATCATCACCCCTTCCCTCCACCGTACACGTTCCTCCTTCTCGCGTCATATGATACTTATTCGGAGGAATGCATGTCCAGCGTGTACACTTATTAATCTAGAAGACACATTCAGCAACCAAGAAAAAAAGAACTGATACAAAAACGAGAAAGGAAACCAATTTGTGTGTTAAGTCAGGTTAGTAAGAATTAGCGCAATGCACTCTAAAATTTGGAAAAAAAGGAGAACTCCATCGAACACGTGCCTGCTCCAACTTTTTACATAATTTTTCGGGCCAGTCAACGGGAGGCGGACATTCCGGGAAGAAAACATAGTCGGCCTCCGCAGCTAGAGCGCCCACAATAGCCAGATACCTAACCGAAAACCACTCGTTTGTACTGTATACTCATAATTCATAACTTGGTCGATACCGTTTCAATACTGGCGATAATCAATCTCGTTCAGATACCAATCTCGTAGGGCTCGCCGAGCCTAGTACTCGTAATTCACTCATTGTGAATTACGTAATTTTCCACGCGCGGAACGGCTACGAGCCGTATTACATGTATAATTGACTATCCAACGAATGACGATACAAATCCTGAATTATTTTCTCTCGGTGACGTAAACGCGACGATAGTTCATCCACTTACCCGCAATGCCGACCCATTACTTCCATTATAAATGTTCTTTGGTGAGAGTAAGCTGTGCTGACAATAGCGTCTATACTCTCGATGATGCGATGCAACGCCGAATCGGTGCCGATCGTCATGTCCGTGCCGCAGAAATCATTGTCGATAGAGCCAACCATCCCGACGATGTGCAAATGCTTGTGCTTCTCGCTCTCTTCGGCAGTGATGTTGCCTGGTGTGTAACGTTAATTAGATAATAATTAGTGAAACGTAAAATAACATTAACTTATACAGTGCGAGCGATGAAGCATCAAGATGAAGCAAATTTTTCCGAACGTTCTCCTCCACTTACTAGAATCGACGAGTTCTTTCAGCAACTCGGGCCATTCCTCCTTGAAGAGATTGGCGCCTGTGAGAGAGCCATCTCCACCGATCACCACCAAGTTGGTTATACCACGAGTCACCAAATTCTTAGCAGCCTTTCGGCGCCCGACACGCTCTCTGAAGTCCTTGCATCGTGCAGAGCCGATCACTGTACCACCCTGAAAAGATACAGCGTTATGATTATTATTAATATGATGATGCAACATTTGCACGACTCTGCGATACGTACTCTGTGGATGATGCAAGACACGGACGACCATGTCGCTTCTTCGATGTATGCCCCACCATCCACCATTCCTTGATAGCCTTCTTTGATGAAGAATACCTTGCATCCGAGGTAAATACCCATCCTCACGACCGCTCGTACGGCAGCGTTCATTCCTGAGGAAAGGAGTATCAAAATTTTTAATAATTATTATGTCAAATAGCGCATGTATGTCGATGCAATGTAAAATTGATCAAGTGGTTTGTTTTTAAATTACCTTGAGAGTCGCCTCCACTAGTGAATACAGCAAGACCCTTGCCCTTGTGGCTGCCAGGTTTTATAAACCTTTGGACTGGTTCCTCGGCCATCTTTTTGCAGTACTTCTTGTAGCACTGTAAAACGCAAATTTATATATAAAGCCGACGTCAATACTTGTCAACTTAGAATTTATATCGTTCTGAGCATGTTCCACATTCTCTCAATCTCTTCACAATATTTTTACTCCAATAGTAATAATTAAGTTACGAATGCAACAATTTTCATATTTCTATTAGTCTCTTTTCAGAAAGAGCAATATCATAACTGTCTGTGTCACAGGGTATGAAAAGTGCAGGTTAGTGGCATATTCTTCCTCCAGTGTGTCGAATTCTATTTCAAACGAGGAGCCAGTCGGTGAAGGTTCATCTGATTCTAGTTTGCTCTTCCCAAACATCTACTTGAATTAAATTTTTTAGCATTTACTTTATATGAATCTGAGATAAGAATAAAGGAAATGATAAAAAGAAAGGCTGCAAGCTTGCCTCTGGAAATATCAGGGAAAGCTTAACATTTTGCAAACTGATTTTGCTTATTCTCTCTGTGTCGATATCTTTCAAAACTTTAGCAACAAGAGATTCCACCGAATAACGTTCATACAAACTTGACTCCAATAAGGATCTACTATCAACAGTGATGCTTTTAGATGGAGCATCTCCATCCAGATCACTATTGCTCTCTACATGATTCTCCGCACTATCCTCAGCTGTGCAATGACACGGAGGAAATCTATAATCTTGAGACATTTTCCTGCACAAACCACATTAATCATTAAGATAACTGCAATATTGATATGAATGTAACCTTACTTCAAAAGATTCAAACTACACGCAGCTGCTCCAAATTCACTTTACTGAAGAAGGAAAAAAAAAAAGAAAGTGAAGCACGTTAATGAATATGTCGTTGCGTTGTAATCTACAGTTTCCAATTTCGCGCTATCAGTGAGATAATCATTGCTGAAACGAATCTGGTGTCACGAGACTCTCCAGCTCGAAATTGCGCGACATTCCGGTAGGAAGGCAGAAATATGAGAGAGAGAGAGAGAGAGAGAAGTACCTTGATGTAACGCGCGAAGCGGGCAGGAATGAGCAAAGCGTCGCTTAGCCGTTGCGACAGGCGCGAAATTCTCTCTGCTCCCCCGTCTCGCAATCCCCACGTCATAAAATTAAATAACACGTGCGCCAAGGCAAAATCTGGCAGCGCGTCAAAACGCCGAGCATAAACAACGAGCGGTGTGTGTGTGTGTGCTATATGTATCGTAGAATTATCACTAGTGGACGCGGGTTTTTTCCGTCCGGCACTTTGTCTCCCGACGACGATGACGACGACGATGACGATGACAATGACAACGGCGATGTTCCAATTTACGGCCGACAGCCGAGCTTTCGTGATTCACCGGGTTCATGGACGAGAAACTCGGTCGAGCTTGTAGACGTCGCGTCACCGAGATAGTCCTTCGACTGTTCATCGTAATCGACTGTTCCTCGCGATCGCGGTCGTGCCAATCGTGACACAAATCATTCGCACGTGAAAGGCGTCCACGATAATTGGATTAACCGTAACAACGCCACTCGACCGCTTAGAAGCGCGAAAGCGACGATAGGATCGATCGTCGCGGTGGGCAGCGATCCCGCTGATTATCCTGAGCCCGGCAGGTCATTCCCAACGACGCGACTCGTTCGTTCGTTGAATTGAATATTTTACCTTGCCGTTCGTACCGGAGTCACGTGAAATTCACGCGAGGAGACATCGCCTGCGATCAAGCGACCGAGCGATCGTTCACTTCTTTTCTCTCTTTCAAGAAAATAGCGGTCTCCTCACTCAATAAGAACGAGGAGCTGGAGAGCAGGTTAACTCACGCACACCCTCGCGATGCGTTCACGGGCTAATCGTTGGATCGATTCGTATGACGTTCACGTAAAGCGAACGAGGACTCATGTGTCCAACGGCTGACGAATGTCGTCGTCGTCGTCGTCGTCGTCGTCGTCATCGTCGTCTTCGTCTTCGTCTTCCTCGTCCTCGCCCTCGTCGTCGTCGCGTCGTCGTGAAGCGCGCGCTCAGACACGACAACGATCACAGTACGTCGACCGATCGACCCAGCCAGTGATTCGACTCACCAAGGAGAAAGAAACGCGACTGTCGGGCGCGACGACGGCGATGATCCCTCCGCACTCGATGAGCGCCGACGAACCTCTGATCAACGTCGTCCGTCGCAGTGTCACGACGTCCGGCCGACTGAAGGTGACCTTTCGGACCAGTTGCCGGAGGGACCAATCGCGCTCAACCAATCGCGCACTGTCGACGTTCTCGAGCTTCAAATTAGGCGCGCCGCGCGGTATCGATGGCTCGCATCTCGCGCGAGGTATCGATGGCTCGCGTGTCATACGGAAAATTCGAAAAGCCACGGAGCGCGCTTAAACGAGTCGTTCGAATCCGCAGAGTGGATCGTTGTCCTCATGAATTTGGAGCCTCGACACGGACTGTCGGCTCCGTCTCGCTCGTCCGCTTGGACAAAACAAACTTTCGAGGGAACCTCACAGACGTGTGAGAGAGACATACTATTTCTTTAGTCAATTTCTTCTCGACCTCTGTATAAAATGTCTGTATTTAAAAGCATTGTTTCGCATTCACGAGATTTCGTCGTGAATTCTGCCTTTGCGGAAATCTCGGATTGGATCGCGAATTGCAATACTTTGCGATGCGACGGGGAATAGAAGGTGAAAATATTGTATGCCTCTGAATCCGAAAACAATTAGGAGAAGAAGTGAATACTTCTCAGTGCGAAAGTTCGCATTTGAAAATTATCGATTGCGATTGAATGCGAGGCATATTTGAAATGAATTGCATCCTTTTTAATGCGAAGCATTCATCATGCACTGCCGTTTCTCGCATTTAGCGCGGTAAAGTTTAATGGATAACTAATACTTTTCAATCTCTTTCTTCGGATCAGGAAGCAAAATTCAGACGTATTCAAAATGTCAATACTTTTTAATTCGACGTTTCAATTCGACTTTATACTTTATTCGATTTTATACAGGAGATAACCTCCTCACGCATACTTGTACGTTTAGTTACGTTCGATTTCCTCTTTCCGAAATCAGGTGTACTGTATCACACGCGACAAAATTATAAAAATTTGAAGGATGTTACATTTTCTGAGGCGTCTTTTCAACTTTCCAAAGACATTTTCTGAGAGTTTGTGCAATTTTAATAATAATCACGGACGAAATATAAGCAACTTTGCATCTTGACTTACCCATTGAGAGGTTCGTTCTTGAGAATTAAGAGGTTTCATGACGAACAGTGATCGTCTCTCTCAACGTTCTCAAAAGAAACTACGATTGGGAGACTCTCGTATTGTTAATAAGAACACCGTATGCGAAGATAACGTTGACACGCGAATAAGCAATGTTCAATCACGAGCTATTGTTTTTTGTTGTCCACTTGTCGACTGATAAGAGATCCGAGTCGCTAAAAATCCGGGTCTTGAGAATCTTTGTATGAATAAAGAGCCATCAGATAGGATTTCTGTTTTTTCGATTAGTGATAAAAATCATTTCAATGATGAGTGCTTAAGATTCAGAAAAAATCGCCGTGGTTTCTGTTGCGAACGTCTGAGACAGACTCGAAAACTAAGATTTTATGCGAGTGCGATCAATCAACCGTTAATTTCAACGAGACATGATAACGAGGAAATAAAGATAAAACCCGTCGCGGGATCAGTTGATCGATCTCTTCTTTCGTTTCATAATTTGATCTTCCGTGCAAAAAAAAAGAAAAATACGGTAAGCTTACCTCAGACGATATTCCTGATAACGTCTCCGCCTCGCAATTATAACGCTTCCGTGTTATATTTAAAAAATCTTCAAAGATAATCATTCAAAACAAGTCCGATCCTCACTGATAATACTAACAACAACTCGTTCAATAACTGGACAATCGTTCAAGTAGTCGTCCTGGATAGACATAAGAATGTTCCTCAGAGATGTGTAAAACGCTTGTTACGGCGACTAATTGCCGACAGCCTCAAAGAAATGCTTCTGCGTGAGGCTCGCGGCAAGCAAGAACTCCGCTCGAATACGAGTCCCGTAGTCAAGGTGAAATTTCACGTGACAGCCGCAACGCAGGACTCTGGTCGAATACGTGCCACGGATCTCGTAGCCAGGACGAAGTGCAACTTTCGAGCATGCGAGGTATGATGCAACGAGCCTTCGCACTCTCCTCATGGTTGACGAAAAACTGCTTACGCATTCTTACACAAATTTTGCATTTGCAAGACAAAGAGGAGCTTTTTCGTGATTCGCGAAAATTCGGGAGCATTAGCGAGAGAAAATTCGACTCGGACTTCTTTTGTTGACTTCGTTATGGACTTTGCTGACGAAACATCGTGATATTGTTGGGCAAACGTTCATCGCATTTGTTAGATGCTTTTGTTAGATTGCGAAAGAGCGGAAAAAGTATACAAACACGTCACAAAAATCGTGAAAATCAGAATCGAATATCGATTTTTGAGTTAACGAATAACGCGATTTTCGATTGTCACGATATAAAATAAGGATAAAATTTAATAAAATTTGAAGATAGATGAAAATAATTGGCTTCTAAAAAATGAATTAAAAATTTATCAATTTTTCATAATGGATAGAATTTTGGAATCATCGATAATAGTCAATTCGAACTTTTCTCAAATCCAAGTTAATTGAAAACGCTATTAGACGCGCCTTGTATCCGGTATCCAATAAGAAAATGTATTTACAGAGAATTACTAAAATAAATTCTCTTTTATATAAATAAAAATATGAATATAAATTCTGTTTTTAGGTACGAGATACTTCTCTTCAAAATAATTCTGAATCTTGATTAAATGAATTTCAGAGCCTTTTGAATCGTTCGACTCATCATTGATTTATACACTATTTACTATATATGCGTATAGCATTTCTATTATATCCATAATAAAAATTTGAAAAAAATAAATTCTAAAAGCTGCAATGTAGTATATTTATTATATAAAAATATATACACACACATATGTATATATATATATATCCTTATATTTTTCTTCCTAAAACTATATTTACATAATGATAATTTCATGTATCGTTATTTTTCTCCATATCCATTTCTTCATCATTTTCTTTTGTGTCTTGAGATACCGCAAGTTTTTTAAAACCATGTTTCTTGGTATATAGTCCCAGAAGTAGCAACTTAAAAGTTGCTAGTGGTTTGTCTAATAATTTCTGCAAAATTGATTAAATTTAATATTTTGCAAATTTCAATGTTAAAGACTTCAATATGTGCGAGAAATCAAATAAATACCAAAATTTGTGTTTGTTCCGATGTCAGTACGTCACTCTCCTGACAGACTTTGTATGGTTTGATTAAAGTAATAATTCCCTTTTGCAATGCAGTAGGCATACCCAACTGCCTCAATTGTGGTTCCATACTGTGTTGGAATTGTGGCAGAGGACCCTCAGGTAATTCTATTGAATAAGGTGCTACAAATCCAGCACGTGCATATTCCAATTCTTCATATCCATTCGCCCATTCTATTACCTGTTTGTACATTATTAACAATATATATATGCGCTAATCTTTAACTCATGTTTCTTTGATCATAATACCTGTTTATTATACCACATACCTGTTTCTTTGATCTATTGGTAAACAATAGACCACATTGACCTCTCATTGTATAATTCCTCATTGCATTAGCTAATTTATGGATATCATCTGCAACTTCAGTTTCTGGTGATATTCCCAGACCTAATGCAATTATTCTGATCTTACCAAAGACAAGTCTACTGTCTTTCCATTCAGCGCGTAGGCTAAGTAGCTTAGTATTGCGTGTATTTTGAATAGAAATTAGGAATATACGATTATATTCCTCCACACATTTCTTAACATCTTCTATAATACGTTGCTTCAAAACTAAACCTTTTTTACTGGTATTAGTAAGTGATACTGTAAAAAAGTATTTTATTATTATTATAAATGTCTAATATATTTTTATAATGGTGCATATCATCTTGTAATATTATTACAGAGATATCAAAAGCAACAATCTTATATAATAATAATGAAGATACTTAAATTAGTCTACAACAAAATTAATTGTTGAATTATTAAATATACAAGACCACACTTGTGCACACAAGGTAGTTATTTAGTAAAGCACATTTAACATTGGTAACATAAAAAAAACATAAAAAAATGGAACATTTTGTTATCTAAGCTGCTAAGAAAAGAACAAAAAAACTAAAGGTTAAGATTACATATAGATTTTAGTGGAACTTTTAAGTTAAGAAGAGCTATAATGTACTACTATAAACTACATGAGATTCATAGAGGTTAACATAATAATTAAGCTACTTGTTTTATGATACGTTTAACAGTGTACTATAAAATTTGGTGAAATTACTTTTCTTGTCTCTCTTTGATTTCGGCATTTTTGAAATTGAATTCCTTCACAAATCGGGAAAATATATCCAAATTATTTGTCTGAAAGTTTATATTTCACAGTTAAATGCCGACACTAGAAATTATCACAGTCCAAGTGGTAACACACGTGCTACCTCTTTCTCTCTCTCTCTCTCTCTCTCTTTCTCTCTCAATATTGACCGTAGTAGGTACCTAGCGAGATCTTCAACGTCACTGAACGGACGTCCTAGTTTTAACGTTCGATAGAAAACAATCGATTGATAAATCGATATTCGACTTTTTGTTTTTAGAAAAACAATTTATCATCATCGATTTATTCGATGTTTCAAAATTAAATAAATTTTTATGTTAATAGTTGTATATTATATACATATTAATAATTTGATATAATTAAATTTTATGAACACTTTACACTCTACCATAAATTCAACGTTTCATCATTTTCAGTCAATAATTCAATAATAAAATACAATGTTTTTCATTCTGTGAAATAGAGAAAATATTTGTTTTTATCAATATTCATCAATGTAGTATCAATAACATTTATATCAATTGTAGTTTAATTTGCGTCTGAAAATAATTTCGATTATGGACATTGGCTGCATTCAGCAGACTCAACAGTTGAACAACATTACTAGATTTTCCATTGAATCTCGCTCCTGATTGGTAAATACTTCTGGGTCTATGAAGAATCTAAAAGAATGCTCCAATCACATACAATAATCACTAAGCGCTCTCTGATCACTTTGTTCTACTGAACGCGGCCATTGAGATGTTGAGTTCCAAAGTCTTCGCTACGAGTCGCCACTTTCCTCAACGAAGAAAGTGACGATTCCTCAAGTAATATAACTCAATGGCGGGTCAAACGTCTAGTTACTCTATCTGGAAAACTAGATAAAATTTCACAAACTGTGATTTTAATATAACAGTCATATCAATCTTGCAAAACAAGGTCTCTTATTTCATTACAAATTATGCCAATAAATACGAACACTCGAACGCAAATGAGGTTTCATGATCAATAGAAATGCAACGGGAGAATAATTCTTTTTACCTTGAAATAAAATACAATTTACTTTAACCGCAACTATTTCATCGCTAATAAACATTATTAACCTGTGTGTCATACCGGATGCAATGATCGGGCGATTTGAACGGGCGCGCCGCGGCGCGACGGAAGCGGGCGTGCGCGCGCCCGGCAAGATGGCGGTTTCCGTTGGTCGCGGCAGTGCACTCAGCGAGAGCGTAGTGAACGGTAGCTGTTGAACACGCCGAAAGCTCGATTTCTCAGGCCGCTTACAGCACTCCGAAGGTGAGTCCCTTCTGCCTCGTAACCGACACATATGCTCGTATGTCGACCATCTCGTCGCCGTCGTCGCTGTCGTGCGACGCGGCCGTAGCAAATTGCGACGACATGCTTCGTAACGCGGCCCGTGTGAACCCCGTAGCCATGCAGCTCCGACGACGACATCGGCGACTCGTTGGGATTTCGCCGGTGGTAATTACGCCACGCGAATCCTTCGCTTTGTCGAGCCGCGATATCGTCTCGATGAGATTGAGTGAAATTTTTTGCGGGAGGACACGTTGGAAGTATCGTCGTCGTGACGATACGCCGTCGGCGAGGATTATACGTGCGCGATTTATTCGTTCATTGATTCCTTCCTTCCTTCCTTCCTTCCTTCCTTCCTTCCTTCCTTCCTTCCTTCCTTCCTTCCTTTCTTTCTTTCTTTCTTTCTTTCTTTCTTTCTTTCTTTCTTTCTTTCTTTCTTCCTTTCCTTCCATCCTTTCCTTCCTTTCTTCCTTCTCTTTCTCTTGACCACGACATCGCGCGATCGACGGTCTGAAGGCAGCCGCTTGCCGCACCGATGACGCACGAGACGCGCGCGGGTGAGAGAGAGAGAGAGAGACAGAGATAGAAATATAGAGGAGTGCCCGTCGTCTTTCGTAGCCGCCATGTTACTTTCGTGACCGGCGACCAAATTCCTCGCACGTTGTCGGGCTATCATCGGGAAAAAGGATATCTCGTAACTCGCTGCTTATCAGTCGGATGATAACTGGAATACTTGAAAGGTGACGATCGGTATGAGGGGGAGAATGTGATAGGTGCTTCGTTCGTTCGCTCGCTTGTCCGACGACGACGATTCGCATCGATCGCTTTTTCTGTCTCTGTCTCTCTCCCTCTCTCTGTTTCTTACATACACATATATATACACACACACACACACACATATATACACACATGCGCGCGCGCGCATACTCACTCACTCACTCACTCACTCACTCACTCTCTCACTCACTCACTCACTCACTCTCTCTCTCTCTCTCTCTCTCTCTCTCTCTCTCTCTCTCTTCAGTCCAATTTTTTAACCTTTATTTATGCTCGCTGCGAGAGTTACTATTTGTGACATTGTGCTCGTTCTTCGACATGATTACGAAAACAGTTTCGACATTTTCGCGAAAGCTAGGCGGTAACCGCGTTAATTACACATCGAGTGGACGCGTACTCGGAAAATTTGTAATTATATCGAGACGTTCGCCGGCGCGAGATCAATATACTGCGCGAGCGTATTTCGCGACGGTAGACTTGGCGTTCCATTCGTAAGAATCGTGAGAGTTAAGTAATAATGTTATTTAGTGGCGGGCGTTGCTTGAAAGGTTGCCCACCTTTGATTTCGTGCTGCATCTTAGCGACATATAAACTGATGGATAAATGAACCAAACGACAGTTTGGTTCATTTATCTGTCCCCGTTTCGTCCCCGAGACGAGCGATCTGGGTATATGTGTGTGTCGCAAGTACAATGTTTATAGGCGACTCGATATAATGATTAACGCGATCCGCTCATGTGTGTGCATATGTGTGTGTGTGTGTGTGTGTGTGTGTGTGTGTGTGTGTGTGTGTGTGTGTGTGTGTGAGAGAGAGAGATAATATTCATTTGGGATCGCACGATTCTCTCGTGAACATCGTGGAAGATAGAGTGAGGAGACTATACATTGTGTTATCGTAGACATTTTGATTATGTATCGGTGGAAGAATTATCTTCTTTCCGGGGGAAAAAAATGTTGTTTGAACGCTCGTCAATAGATGGCTCCTTTTGTGACATCGAAATTCTCTCTAGCCTAACCACCGCTAGCCACGTACGTAGACCGCCGCTATAATATGAACGTGTTGATGGCCTTGGAAAATTATTTTTCCATTTTCAACCTGCAACGATTTGATAACATTTTTCGCAATGGGAATAACTTCTGAACACACACGAGATGATCCGTTTAATCCGTTGATATTGAACATTTTATATATTTTATATATTTTTATATTTGTATATGGCTTTTTATACACATATTCTCACACACATGTATATATTTGTATACTGATTTTTACATGTTTATAAATTTTATATGTTGCCGTTGAATCGACACCATCCAACGACAAGGTTATCACCTTGCACAAATTTACGACTCGGGTGTATCAGCTCTACGTTCTGATACGTTCTGATTTTTATAGCTGACGTTTCTGTACGTATCGATACACGCCACTTTATCGATTTTTGTACAACAACAGAGAACGATAGCGGCAGCCACGGAGAGCGAGCCTTAACTTTTCTCTCGATTAACTTTTCATAGCTTCTGATATACGCTACTCCGTCGGTTCAATATCGCTTCGACGAACGAGATTCCCCCCACCCCCTCACCCTCGTGCGGCTTTGCGAATTTGCGATCTGGATGTGTAATGAACGATGTTATCAGATTACCTGTCCGCAATGTCCACGCCTACCTTGCCTGTAGGTCATCGAACATACGACGAGGTTTGCTCTTTTCGCCAAGGTCGACACCCTCCTCTTCATCCTCTTCTCTCCCCGCCCCCCCCCTCCTTCTCCTCCTCTCCTGCTCAGCCCCAGCTGGCCCCCGTTGCGCGTAGATCTCCGCGTATTTGCGTAACGTGCGAAGGCCTCTTCTACGTCCTGGAGGCCGCCGCATTCCTCATTCCCGCGATCACTCGCGGCTTGTCGCCATTCATCCGTCGGTCGATTTTACCTGACCGGTCGTAACCTATCTACCTACCTACCTATACGTGCGAAAGAGAGAGAGAGAGAGAGAGAGAGAGGTTACTCGCGTACAGGGTGTCGGAAAGAAAAATATTCAGAACTGCATTTTCCATCGAAAGTCGGCAGCGTCGTCGCGATGTTACCGGTAGTCCTCACAAATTACGAGCGATTGAAGATGAAAACTGCGATTTTACGCTTGATCAGCGGGAGGTTTGATGTCGAAAATTGCGATGTTACGGAGAGAAAGAGAAAGAGACGGTGCGTGTCCGATTAAATTTGCACCGAGGGAAGACTGACGCAGGCTCGGGCGAAAGAAACGCGCTCCTGAATCTCGAAGTTTCTTTTTCTCTTTCTTATTCGCTCGACGCGCTCCGTACGTTTCATCGCGTCGCGTTCACGGAGAGACGCATGTCCGGCCATCGTTTCTTGTCTGCGTAATAGAGCCGACGGTCAAAGTGAAAAATGGTCTCGCATCGTACGTACGTGTGTATTTCCATCTCGCGCGCGACGGAGCAGCGAGAGAAAAGAAAAAGGAGCGACGAGGTCGGCCGGATCGTGAAGGAGAGACAGACGCCGTCGCTTCGCGAATTCGGCGCGACAGTGTACGAGCGGTCTCGTCTGATTTGCGGAGAGCGAGACGCCAGGTTAATTGGGATTGATGTATCGATTGCGGTGCAATCTGGTTAGAGCAGACGCGACCAGCTGCGAGATACAGGTGAGACCCGTTTATCAACGTATTCCCGGAAACATGATGGTTCGCGTCAGGAAGGCGCTCGTGTAGAGAGACGCAACTCGGAGGTCGGAGCGTGAATTCGCGGCTGGAGGGAAATATCGCGTAAAATCCGGAAACTTGGGCTCTCGCGCAAAATTATATCTCCAGAAAACTTCTGAAAATACTCTCGGACATTTCGACGGAAAATTCCGCACGCGCAGGTTATTCTCGAAAATGACTTCAAGGGGTCGCAAACGAACAAGTTCACTTCGGGCCGCGCTCCCCGGTCATATTCGCATATTATACCAATCGGTACGTAAAATATTGATGACTGCGTTTGAGTGTATCTGCACCGAGAGAAAAGTATATGATATTTGGAACTATAATGATATAGTAACTAAATTATAGTCCGAAATATCATATTTATAGTAAGTGTCACCGTAATATCGGTAATAATTACGATATAGGCATAGTATAACCAACTATATAATATTTTTACTAAGAATTAATAGTAAGTTAAACTAAAATTATTGTATGGATACAAATATAAAATGGTAGGTAAAGTAACTCTTTTATATAGTCAATATTACCAGAATATTTGCTAAATGATGATAGATGTAACTATGTGAATATTAAATCTCACTATATTTGTGAATGAGAAATTACTATATATATGGTAAAAGTAACTTGTTTAAGACAATCATTGACTATATATTTGTGTTTATTCTGGACTATAAAAATATGGTTGACGCCAAAATGAACTATAAAATATAGTGAGATTATAGTTAATTCAACTATATTTTTCTATCGGTGTGTCGGATATACAACTATTTAATTATTTAACACGATTCAACGTCGCACTCCATGCAAGCGCACGCGTATCCATGCACGCGCTTTCTGCGATATTTTCCGGAAACGCTCACGGCAATTACCGTGGTCGTCGTGTTTTTTGTAATCGCGGTAATTCAATCATAACAGTTTAATATTAAAGGGGGAATTACATGCGGAAGGCCGTTTTCAGGGCTATTTTTACGAATATTTTTAGCAGAAACGGTAAGATCAATGGGCGAAGTTTTCACAGTGCATTCATTAATGTGTTCAAAGTATAAAATAAATTTTATTGAATCACAAGAACCGATCCAATTTATTTGTAATTATAGGTAAGAATGCAATCATCCGTTTGCGACTTCTATGTTTGCTGTCGACATATAATCCTGAGCCTTTCACTACTTTGAAAGCAAAGAATGAGAAAAATTTTTAAAATATACGGTTGCCATTATAGCCTGTACCGAAATGAAGGCAGTGACGCCAAGTTTGGAAAAATAATGACTGTACATAAAAAAAAGTATCGAAAATGAAACTTTTTTCAATTTGTAATCATGTTTAAAAATGATGAATAAGATAAAATATAACTGTGTTTGAG